CTACCAAAACATCTGCATGAATCAGAGCATTCTCCATGTAAATGATATGTAAATGAGGAGCTGTTAGGCCTGCACTTGTTTTCACGCGCTGAAGCTGATTCTTTATTTGCGCTCTGCTTGTTTCCACGTTGTATGGAAGTTTCAGGAATCAGACGCAGAGTAGTTTGTGTATCATTGAAGGTGGTCAAATCTGCACTCTTTTTGCACAACTGTAATAAATAATGCCCTGTATGCTTACAGGACCTTTAAATACAAGTGAGCGAGATGGACAACACATAGCTATGTACACTGTATGTCCAAAAGTTTGTAGACATCTGCTCCTACAGTGTTTCTTCTGAAATGAAGGGTGTTAATAAGGAGTTTTGCTGCAGTTACAGCCTCTACTCTTCTGGGAAGGCTTTACACAAGATGCTGGAACATTGTTGTGAAGGGTTGATTGCATTCAGCCACAAGAGCATTAGTGAGGTCTGGTACTGATGATGGATGGTCAGTTCTGGATCACTCCAACTCATCCCAAAGGTACTGGCTGGAGCTCCATCACTCCAGAGAACGCAGTTCCATTGCTCCACAGCTCATTACTGGGGTGATTTATGATTTATGACCTTTGGTTCATGTTGTGGCTGCTCCAGAGTGCCCCTTTTTACTGGTCAGTGCTTTTCAATGGAGACTATGCAAGCTATGTGTGCACAAGGGGTGACTTTAAGATAGATGGATTCATTAATTAGAAGGACTGTCTGGATACTTTTGGACAAATACTATATCTCAATGTTTGTGTGTGAGAGAGAGAAAGAGACAGATAGACCATAAGAATGCATGTTTTGGTGGCCCCTATGTCACACTACCCTTAGATCTATTGCAGCATTGAAGCTGGAATCCAACCATGTTCCTGTTATGGTGTTTTTCGGTATGCACCATAAAAACCTGACAGGGAAAAAGAAGAGCTGTAGCCACTTTGTGAGGTTATACCAGGTCCAATTGATATTCTTTAAGCTCTTTCGTCTTTAAACTCAATCAGATTCTTTATCTGGCACCGCAGTTGAGTCACTCTAGTTTGCCTTGCACAACAAACCAGCCAGTAATCCCAGTATTTGGTTCCTTTACACTTCACCAGAAATTCCTATTGGCTCACAGGTCCTGAATCTAGCCAATCCAAGCAGAGCAGCTCCAGGAGCACCTAAGAAACAGATAGGGAAAAATGGGAGAATGAGGGAGGGCATGCAATTAGATGCATTGGAGCTGTGCTTAAAAGGGAATTCCACAGATTTCTCAATATGTCTGCACGGGTATATTGAGCTGTGCTGTTGTAGAGAAACTTGGAGTGATAATTGTTTACAGTGATGATAGGAACTGGACATCTGTGGCATTTATGCCAGTATCTGGACTTTAAATTCAGTGTCTGGTCCAGGATTTGGAAATCGCTAACCTGTGTGGCACTAAATGGCCAATCAATCAGTTGCGTTGAAGGGGAATTCTTCATTTTTCACTTTTTTACCATCGTCATCATTACATATAAACACTCAGAAGACACCTGTGGGTTCACTGCTGGTTTTGGGTAGTAAATAAAATGGCTATATTTATGTTGTAGACTCTGCCCTGTGATAGACTGGTGACCTGTCCAGGGTGTTTCCCGCCCTCCGCCCAATGACCGCTGACATAGGTTCCAGCACCCCCACGACCCAGGAGAATAAATGGCAAAGCAGTGGCACATATAAATGCATTTGGGCAGAGCTGTTTCCTGCTACAAGTGATATTAGCAATTGATTAGGGCCCCTAACTCACTCGGGCCCCCAGGTTGTTTGTTCAATGATTTTGCCGTAAAAATATCTCATGAGAACTCCGCTGATGACTGAAGGCTAAAATGATGATCCCACTTAAACATACATTGTTGTTATATTAAATGAAAGTACATAGAAAATGTAGTTGTTTATTTCCTTTCTAGTTTTGTTTTATAGTGATTAGTTTAGTACTTTACTACCTTATTAAAACTTTTTTCCCCTAATCAAAATTAAACCAATTAAAAAAATAATATGATTGGTGTGGGTGGGGAGGCCCCTCTAAGCAGGGTGTTGCTCGGGGCTCCTCCGTGTTCATCCGGGTCTTCCAAAAAGCTGCAGCCACTTAAAATTTTTCAGAGAACAGTTCCTGGTGTGAGAGTTCATGGGCCGGTTTCCCGGACAGAGATTAAGCTTAATCCTTGACTAAAAAAGGCTTTTCAGTGGTGAATCACCATTGACGTTACAGTTAGTCCTTGACTGGGGTTAGTGTGTGTGTGCAGGTGTTTTTTGGAGGTTTAAGTACAAATTATTCATTTTATTCAAGAGATATTTCTGAGATTAGCTGTAAAATAGTCCACTTGCTTAAGGATGACGAAATAAACCAGCATATCGCTGCTGTCGGAAGAAAACCTTGTATCTTCATTTTTGTCGTTTTTCAGCTTTTGACATAATTTGAAAATGCCTGTTGCCCTTCACATTGTTTGTGAATTTCATGATGAATGGACCAAAAGAAAGGAAAAATGTCTGGTTCCATTGACTTACATTAAAAGTGAAGTAGGTTTTTTCCTCCTCCTGTAAAGTTACCATTTTAGAGATATGAGGTTTTCTTCCAACAACAGCGGTATATTACTTCAATGATGTCTGTAAATAATGGTCATTTTCAGGGTCGCTCCAGTGCTTGGATCACATGCCAGGTACCGAGAGTTTTTACTGAACTGGGAAAATCTGCCTTTAGTTACAGCACCAGCTCGCTGGGTCACTCAGTCATTTAAACTTTTACTCACTAACCACCTCCACTCTGCCTGCAACTGTCTTACCTGATTTTTCACTATTATTGTTTTACTTATTATTATTTCAGTCTTTTTTTTCAGTTTCCTTTTTTGATTTTATCCTCCTTTTGTTTTATTTATTATCTTTTGATTTTTATTAACTTTAACATTTTAGTTATGCTTTAATTATTGTTTTATACTTTTTACTGTTTGTATGTTTATTATTAATGTTTGATTTTTTTATACTTACCTGATTTGCATCATTTTTATTATTACTTTTATATATTTACATTTATTATTTGATATGTTCTTGCACATTTATCAACTTGGCTACATTGTAAATGAGGGTCACCCTCAATGTTCTCCGATGTTAAATAAATGTTCATTGATTGATTGAAGTGAAACTGGAGTTCATATAAGCCCCTACTGAGAAAAGGAAATAAACAAAGAAGCTGCTGGTGTTTTCAGAATAATGGACCGACCACCACAGAGTCCAGACCCGGATTACTTGGATAGTAAGTGCAGAACCAACTTCTAAGACTGAACTTTGGAGGTGTTGAAAAATATCTCTGCAGATTTCTTTGAGAAACTGAAAGTGAGTCTCCTGAAAAGAGTGGAAGCTATAATGAAGGTAAAGACACAGTTAATACTGCCGAAAAGGCTTCTGTGTCATTTTGTGTTAAATGTTCTCTGCTTTTTTTCCTGATGCTGAAAAATAAATAACTTGTACTCAGTGGCTGTTTTGAATGGAAACTGAATAAACTAAAAGGTGATTTCTGAATTTTGGGCAGTATGATATGTTAGTTTGAGAGTGATTGAAGCGTCTTCACCAGACTGTGAGAATTTTTTACAGATGAGGAACTGGAAGCCTAAACAAGGCGTGATATCTGCAGCATCAACTAACCCACCCATGCCCATCAACTAAATTTAGTGTGGTTTAGAAAAAAAATGTCACAGAAACGTTGTGACACAGAATGTCACAACTTTTGTTTTATTGCATGACATTTTCATACGTTTTATTCACAAATTTGAATTTGCTTTTGTTTTGTTAAAACAGACTGAGTTTAAAGGGAAACTCTTAATTTTTCTATAAATTTCTATGTATTTCAGTTGCTAAGATGTAAACAATGTCGTTCAGAGTGGTTTGGTGTGAATGGTTAATTGTAGAGAAACTTATAGACTCAGATTTCTTTACAGTGGTGATGATGGGAACCAGGGGTCCAGATGTCTACAACACAAATATAGCCATTTTATTTACTGTACAAAACCAGCAGTGAACCTACGCGAGTCTTCTGAATTTATATATGTAATGTTGATGATGGTAAAATAGTGGTAATTCTTTAAAAATAAGTTTTTTGAGGGCCTTATTACTCCCTGCGTATACCTCAGTCAAAAGCTTTCACAAAAGTATCATACTGTATTACTGTATTAGGCATCAGACAGGTTTTCATAAGCATTTAGTGTTGTAACTTTCAGTGAAGTAGGATTTAGAGACATAAAATGCTTGACATGTTTGGTTCCACTAACATGTCCACTAATTCATGCCTTATTAAGCTGTGGTCAAGGCTTAATTATCTTACGGAGCCCTGCTGGTGACATCCTGTATAAACAGAAATAATGTGTGGCCAAGACTTACTAAGGTGTGGGAATAAGATAATTAAGTTGTAGCCATGATTTAGTAAGGCATGGGAACCAGATCCTAATGCGTGGCCACAACTTAGTAAGGCGTGATCTCATTCCCATGTTGTAGCCATAGCCGCTACTTAGTTATCTTGTTCCAAAGCCTTACTAAGTTGTGGCCATGCATTAGGATCTCATTCCCACGCCTTACTAAGTCATGGCCACAATTTAATATGGCATGGCCACACAATATTATTAATTTTACGGAATGTCACCAGCAGGGCTCCATATTATCCCATTCCCACGCCTTACTAAGCCGTGGCCACGACTTAATTATCTCGTTCCCACACTTTACTAAGTCAGGCTAGCATTAATTTATAGGGGATGTTACCGAAGAAGGACTTTGTTTACATCTTAACCATTTAATTTCTCAGAACATTTGGAGAAACCTGTGGAATTCCCCTTTAACATGAGTGCTAATTAGCCTGCTAACCTACTTTTTTAGACATATGGTTTGATGAATTTCTTCAGATTTGTGCTCAGATTTGTGTGGAGGACACGCTGACCAAAGGAAATGTAAACTTTAACAGGTTAATAATTGCTCAGGCCTGCTAATGCCAGCGGTATTCTCCTCGTACTGTTATGACACATATACAGTGTGGATGTTGAGGGAAGTCTGGGAAAAGCTCCCCACCCACTGTGCGCTGACTGAGGTATGTTGTCAAACAGGTAAAGTCTCTCTGACAGAGGGAAGAAGCGCTGTGGGGATTTTGTCAGTTGCTAATCAGCCAGGTCACAGGTGAACAGGCTAACACGCTATTTTTAATTCCTATCCTACTCAAACTTTCAAGTATGTGAGAGCTGCTGTAGGTTAGTTCATCCTGGTTCGACACTGATTCACAGAGCAGAGAAAAGAAGATTCCTGAGACACTTTATCATACAGTTCACTCCAAATTTCCTGGTCCGGGGAGCATTTTAGTTTCTAGGTAAGTGCACTCAGCCCATTCCATTTCCTCATTCGCTCTCAGCCACATGAAGGCTGCCTGTTTTGAAAGTCGCCTTATGTCCTCTTTGTCAGTTTCTCAGCACAGGCCCACTGTCCTGCACTTACTGCTGTTTTCTCTGTTCTCAACTATTGCTTTGAAGTGGGTATGCTAAATGAGAAAAGGCACTAAAATGTGCAGGACAGTGGGCTGCCAGGAGCAGGGCTGAGAAACACTGCCATAAACGCCCTTCTGAACACAGTTAAGTCAGCAGGCCTGCAGCCTTTTTCATCACAGTCTGCAATGTCTTTCCTTCAACTATGTGATTCCTCGACCTCCTTTGTCGTGCCCTTTTCCAATTCGTGCACTCTTAAGCCTGGTTGTCGCATTAAAAGTTAATATAAGTGGTTACAGAAATTTAATATCGGTGTTATTCCTTTTGGAACAAATAGGCTGCACTTACTCCCAGCTACCGACAGAGGGCGACATTGCCGTATAAATTTCGCTCTGGCAACACAAGAGGCCCTGTTTTAACATAGGAAAGAATCAAAGGGGAATTCCTCCAGTTTTTGTTTTTTTTTTTTTCAAAATTCGTGCATAATTCCATCTTTGAGATGTAAACAAAGTGGTCGTTCATAGTGGTTTGATTGAAATGGTGCATTTTAGACAAACGTGCTGGTTTGGATTTCTTTGCAGGCGTCGCAAACACAAATATAGCCATTTATTCATTGTCTAAAACGACCAGTGAATCCACACCTCCTGAGTTTTATATGTGTTGCTGATAATATTAAAGTAGAGGTACGTCTGAGCAAAAAAAAAAAAAGACTAAGTTTTATTTAAGGACTATTTATCCTTACAACCTGCATCTACCTCTCTGCCATTAATGGATGTTTGTGAGTTCAGACCATGCCTTCAGCATGGTGGTAGTATGAGGGAAGACTGATTGAGGACTCAGAGAGGGGGAGGACTCAGAGAACTTGGGCTGGAGTTCTGGGCAGCTCTTGTCTGTAGCTAAAAGGCCAGATCCTCTTCATGGCTGTCATAGGACAGATGTAGGACTGAGGAACAGGGAGGAGATGGAGTGGTGGAGGGAACTGAGAACCCTTCGTCACAGAAACGGAAGCTGAGGATGTGAATTTAAAGGGCGTTAGGTTGAAAGAAGGAGGCGTTTCAGGCATGTTCCTCTCTCCAAACTTCAGTTATAATATAACTATATTTTAAATTGCATTTTGGGCACAAAATTGGCAATTTATGTAATAACTATCTGTGAGGGACCTTTTTTCCTTAAAGATTTAATTACACAGACATTTATCTGCTCAGATAAATAGTTCCTAACATTAAACAAAACAAAAAAAAACTTGTTTATTCATCACTGGACTCATTTTTTTAATAATATGTTTTATACTATATGCTTTCCAGTTGTGTTGTGTGAGATTTCATTTACTGCTATGAGTTGAATGCTAAATGTGCTCTTTGTACTATGTGTACACATTCTGATGCCATGTTTTGGACAGGCAAGATGCCAGGACTTGCTGAAATATGCTTTTGCATGCTGTCCCTGTTTCCTCTGGCATGGGCAAGATGCATCAACAATGGCGACAATGGTAAAAGGAATATAAATACATGCTGTCCTACATTCAGTAATGTGAAGTGACTCTGGTTGTTCCAGTGTGACTTGTGAAAATTCACCCGCTTTTTGTTTTGTGTATCACTTCTTTTCCTTCTTGGGTGTGTTTTTTGAGTAATTCATGTGTTGGGTTTGTTCTGTCCTGCTCCGTGCTCCAGTTTTTATCTATGAGAAATCTGCGGACTCGTTCCTGTCTCGCTCACTGCTGTACAACAGCTGGGACTTTGAGCTGGTAACGCCAGGCGACCTGGAGAGAGAGTGCAACGAGGAGATCTGTTCCTATGAGGAGGCCAGAGAAGTGTTTGAGGATGACAAAAAGACGGTAAGTACAGGTAGGAATGTGTGTCAAGGAGCACAGACCTGTGCATGTTGCAGGTGGTTGCAAACACGTCTCTTAGATGTTCTTTCTTGTCTTTTTATTGGTGAGAACTACAATACCAAAATGGTGGGCATTGTCAAGCCCACTTCATATGAAATAAATGGATCTCAAATGATAAAGTAATCTTGTGTAAAAGTAGTTGGATCATTTAAATTCTTGGATCATCTTGTACTTTGTTGTTTCCCTACAGGCCACTTTTTGGCAGACGTATAAACATAATACTGGTAAGGTGGCCAATCACGACTGTTATATCTTTCAGAAACCCTGAAACTGTGTTTTCCAGTCTTGGTCCTTGGTCCCAGGGTTTTTCTCGCCTCAAATTCCAGACATTATAATATCCTTGCAGGACTCAAGGCATGTGGTAGTGCTGGGCGGCATCTGTGAAATTCAATATCACTTTATTTTCAAAATATATCAATGATACTGATACTGGCACACCATAGTAAAAGAATGTCTTACAGACCTGACCCAGCTTGTTCTGATTGGACTGTTTTATTCAGTCTTCCTCTTTTAAAGGGGAAGTAAATGGGTTTATGATGTAAACAGGTTTATTTAAAGTGGTTCTATGTGAAATGCTCTGTTCTAGAGAAACTCAGCGAGAATTGTTCACAGTTGTGGTGATAGGAACCAGACGTCTGACCTCTAAGCTCCCTCAGATTTACCCTAAAGTTTTTACATTAAATAGTTACAAATCCTCTGCCTGATGCCTGAGACATTGTCTTATCATAGTCTTATGATAGTTTTATGATCTAAAGGTTTGGCCTTACATTTATTTTTTTTTATCCGGAGAGGTACAGTTGTATGCAAACGTTTGAACACCCCAGCCAAATTAATTGCTTCATTGATTTTCTAAGTGAAATTAACACGTCCTCTACAGAGAACAAACAAAATCTCCCTGCTGTTGAAATAAAACCTCAAATGTCAATTTTGGTCATCTTTTAGTTTTTGACATAATTTGACAGTGCCTGTTGTCCTTTACATTGGATGTAAACTTCATGATAAATGGACCAAAAGAAATGGCCCAGAATTACCTGAAAAAAATTCAGGTTCCATTGACTTACATTAAAAGTAAAGTAGGTTTTTTTGCTTCTCCTGTAAAGTTAGCATTTTGTAGATACGAGATTTTGTTCCGACAACAGCAATATGGCATTTGTCTACAAATTTAAGTACTAAATTTAGTACATTGGAAAAACATAAAATATAAAATGCACTCTATTCTCTGCACAGGCTATATTTTGTTTTATTTTTCCCCAGTATGTAGGTAGGTAGGTAGGTAGATAGATAGATACATAGATACATAGATAGATAGATCACTTTATTAGTCCCAGAGGGAAAGTTGTCTATTACAGCAGCACAAAGTACAGTAAAGAGCAAAAGTATTGCCGTACACTATTATACAGATGCATAAATAGAAGAAGTAAAGATGTATAATAAAATATACTACAACAACCATAAAATGTAATGTGCATTTGTAAGTAAAAATGTGTAAATAATATGCCGGTGACAAAGCAGTGGTGCATGTCACGTCCAGCCTGGATGTATAAACAAAGTGGCAGTGCATAGTAAAGAGTAGAGTGATATAATGTCCAGTCGGTGCTCAGTGAGCCTGTCTTGTTAGTAGCTCAGTATACAATATTATGTTAATAATGCATGTGAGGATGTGTGGCTTTATTTTCACTTTGAATATCAACAAAACATGTTATCAAACAAGAAGCATTCACACGTTTGCATATAACTATATAAACACTGCTGAACCAAAAAGCAGTATCTCTCCAAATCAGCATCACTGTATATCGGTCTAGATGATACATGGCCCAGCCCTGCTATCCGGGGTTTCCCCTTCTCCCAACCCGCCTGACTCACCTCATTAGGATTCACTCTTTAAGATGTAGGTGTGCTATAGCAGGAACTATCTCACATGCAGGGAATAGGAACTCCAGGACCATGACTGGAAAACACGGCCCTAAACTGCTTGGATGACTCATAACTCTATCGGAATGACACATTCTTAGTTGTTCTTGGGCGTAAATTAAGCGGCTGTGGTTGTTGTTTGTGATTCAGGGTTGCTATGGTGGCGTTCAGTAGGGCATGATTGGTGCAACTTCCATTTTTATTAGTTCAGTAAGTTGTTTGAAGTGGATTCATTAACTGGTAATAATGATGGCTTGTTTGCTTGCTCAGGAACTTCTCGCCGTGTGGATTTGCCTGGTCTGGTGTCTGGAATTTTGGCAGCTGTGATCATAGTTGCTATAGCTGTTGTGCTCGGCTGCTACTGTTACAAGAACCGTGGTAAAAGCGCAAGACAAAGGGGCAGGTGAGTGGCAGTGTAGAAACGTGTAAATGTGTAAAAAAATGGAAAAGTGGCTTCACTTTGGAGGATAAACAGGGAGCCTATTTTATCAGTACAAAGCAAAGCGGCTTTTTAAGAAAGCTCCATGTTTCAGTTTTTAAATCTGAAAGGACAAAATTATTCAGGTTTTCAGTTACTGAGGATATGGTTAGTTAGAAAAAATGTTTTACACATACACTGTTGGAAATAAAGATACAAACGATGTAAATGTTCCCTCAAAGGTACAACAGTAGTTTTAAGGTCCAACTGTGAACCTTAAATAAGTTTTTCCAGGTGAAAAATACATATTTGTACCTTTTCATAACCGAATGTTTTAAAACGGAACAATAAAATAAAAGCCTGGAGACGAGACGGGGCATGTGGAGTCAGTACTACTTAGAAAATATCATTTCAATGGATTATAGTACAGTTATGTTCCCTGACTAAAGGTACTGAGATGTACCCTTGAGGGAATCACCCCGGTGACAAGAGGGGTACCGCCCCAGTGACAGTTTACTACCTTTATTTCTGAGAGTGTAGGTACTTACATATATAATACAAGCAAAGCACATTATTACAAATATGTACTTATATATAATACAAATGCAACATTATTGTTACTTACACATATAAAGCGTATGTGACATATTACATATAGGTACTTACATGTATGTTACATCATTGAACATACAGATACTTGCATATGTAATATATAAATATATATAATTCATATCATTACATATATATCAGGGAATGCAGGGCACAAATTAACATGAGGTAAAACATAGCATGGACTTTTTTGATGTAGTTAAACAGGTTCTAATAGAACATTTGGTCATCATCTTGTATTCCCATAGCAACGGCAATCAGCATATTTCTCCAGCTTCAACCTGAAGACTGTTTTTGTCCATAAGTAATTTCATTATAGGTATTACAATCTGTCTGTCTGTGTGTGTGTGTGTATATATATATATATATATATATATATATATATACAGAGATGATAATTACATATAGGTACCATGTCCTTATATATAGTACTGAACAATAGTTTTGTGCACTCAAGAAAATTAGAACTAAAAATCTGTATAATATGAATTGAAAAGTTTTTTTTTTAAACATTCATTCATATATTAAGTGATGCATAATTTTAATACAGTTAGCAGTGATTTTGTGTATGTCAATGTGTTTGTTTAACCATTTCCAAACCTCTCCTCGAGGAAGCCCTGGATTATTTGTAGTTACCATTTAGCATTCTTCAAACTAGCTCACAAGATATAAGCTGCTATTTTAAAATAAATAATGTTCCTTCTTACTGTATTTTTTTTTATTTGTATTCATTCTAATGATATATGTTGATTTTACTGGTATAAACATGCTCAGTGCTGAGATAGATGGTTTTAAACAGTGTGCTCAGGTGTCTAAGACTTTTTCACAGTGTTGTACATGTAACACATATAGGACATATGTATGACCCTACATTCTGACATTGTATAAAAACAAACCTGTGTGTGTAAGAGGGAGAGATCATCAGTCACTGTCCTGGGTCTCAGTGTGTGTCTCATTGTGTCACCTTCCCTCCTGCTGCTACACCTTCACCACAGTGTTCCGGTGCAAATGCCAGCAGACACTCGTCCAGCGCCAGAGATGGTACCTTTGTCTAATATTGAGGCTCCAGGTTTGCCGTCCTACAATGAAGCCCTGGACCGCAGCGGGCAGTATGATGGCCCTCCACCGCCCTACTCAGGGTAACACCTCAGTTTATGTTTTGTGTGTTTATATATGGATCATTTTACTGAATTAGTTCAAACTGCGATCCCACAGTCAGGAAACTATTTTAAAAAACAATTAAGTATTAGATTATGATCTATTTAAAACACAAGGCATTAATTGAGATAGAAATAAGCTAAATATGTATAAAATAATCATTTATAGGGTGCCCTGTACAGACAGGTTCATTTTGCTCACTCATTGAGACGTATGGCTGTACTTGAGAAGTATAGTCCATACCAAGCGTTCTTTTTTTACTGTCCTTTTTAGGCTTTGTCTACTTTTTTTTAGTGTTTTGCCGTCTCAGTTTTGACCTCTGTTTGGTTCTTGACAGTCTCTTTTATGTCTCTAAAGACTGTTAGTAGCCTCTCTCTGCTTTTGACCCTCACCTGTTTTACTACTCTATGTTTCATCAATCCTCGTTACATTAAAGCCTCCAATTTCTGCTTTTACCACAAACATCTGGTCTCTTCTGCTACGTTATGGCCCCAAACACAAACCCCTAAAAGTGTACACTTAATAATACTATGTTAAAACAGGTATAAAAAACTTTTTGCTTTTATAAAACGGCAGCCAACATAAAACATAATAAAATACAATAAAAAAAAAATAAACAAGTATTTCGCCAGGAAATGTATCATTGCCAAACAACCATGGACCACTGAATGAGTATAACAATGAACATATGGTAACAGCACTGTTTAATGCAAAAACTTGCGCTTTGTAAGTACTTTTTAGTCACCAAATTACCATCTTGAGCCTTATAGTGCACTACAAAGGAGTTTAAATACTGGATCCTGCAGCCCAACAGTGCAAAATATAGCTAAGAAATAGTCATTTGGGGCTCAGACACATCCACACTCCATAAATGATGTTTGGCTGTAGAGGCTAGAATCTCTAAACTTTAATAGCTAACACACTATTTAGGGAGTACAAAGCTGTTTGGGTTTCAGCCTGACGCGACTTCTGACTGAAACATGGACATTTGAAGCGTGCAAAACATTATAGTGACATTTTTAGACTTTTATACTGCCGTTTTACAGTAAATCATGATGTAAGTACTTTAATCCAGGCCTGTGATATCACTGATAGAGTTGAGGAGGCTGTTGTCTATCTTTTAGCTTGTTAGCTAGCTGACCAGCCTAGTTCTATTTAGGAACAAAAGTTACCCCTCAGTTAAAACAAAAAACAGGTTCTTACTTCATCAATATACTCAGTGGTCCATGTGAGCAGCATGAGAGTTAAAGATTATTACATCAACAGCTCAAGTGACGTGGCGCAGTAATACAGAGTTCTGTTGTTGTGAGGCGGTCATAGCCGTGCTTATATTGTGGATTTTACAACAGCTTCAAACGCAGCTTAGCCAAGTGATGCACCCCTGTCCCTTAAAGCCACGTGGTGAACAGTTAGATCCCATTGTTTTAGAGTAAAAGTCCCAAAGTCTGACAATTAGTGTGGAACATTAAACACAGATTTTCAGCAATTGAAGTGTTTTAAAATTAGTGTTTTAATAAAAATGATGATTTTATGTGTGTACAGCTGTCCAAAGCTGTATTTGCTAGTCATGAACTGGCTAGCATTTTTCAGTTCTGGTAAGGTATAAAGTAACTCAAAGTAAAAGGATTTTGGTCTAAAATCCAGCTAAAAGTCTGAAATGCGTTTTCAGCTCTGACTTTGAACCAGTTTGGTTGAATGACCCAAATACAATATTCAAGCTCAACTGCACTTAAATGTGGATTTAACTCATTTTCAGTACTTGACACTTTTCAGTAATTTCTGTACTTTACATGAGTACTTTGCAGAATTTTAGATTTGGTGTATGTATGCACAAAATGAGTTTTTCACTTGTCTGTTTGTTCTTTTTTTCTATATTGTTTTTCTTAGGGAGACGCCATCTGCACCTCCAGAATCCCAGAACGAGGAGTGAGATTCAGAAAACAGCTGATGAAATTCTGCTCTAGCAGGAAACTTCGGGGCACTGGGGTGGTGATATAAGGGGATTTGTATGTAGACCTACTTTTAGATATTTTAATGCATGTAATTGTTGTAAAGACAAAGAAACATAAACAGCAACGGCTGTATTTCAATCCACCATGGACTATTTATTCTCTTTTTGTCAGCACATTGTAGTTTTCTATATTTAATGTCATTCTATTTTCCTTGAACAGCTGATTTTTTTAATAAATCCTTTTTTTGTTGTTGCTTTTGAGTTCCTATAATGAGTTTGTTTTTTAATAAAGATATTTTTATGCAGTTTTGACTTTTAAGCAGCACTGAACAAAGCAATACATAATTAATTTGAACTGTATAAAGACTGTCAATAATTTGAAATATAAATGAATCTCAGCACTATAGAAAAAGGGAAGAAAAAAGGGGAATGGATCTTACAGACAGAGGAAGGTCAAGAGGTCAGGCGAAACCCATTATTTGAATAGCAGATAGGTCAGACCCAATAGAATACATATAAAGCTCCCTCACCTTACAGAACTATACTAGAATGAAGTTAAATACTCAAATGAGATTAATGGGCGCATATAATAGAAAACTTAATGTATCTCAATTTTTTTATGTTGTCCGCAAACACCGTTAAAGCTTCAAAACATGCCATTCCCCTCCGTACGGACTATTTATGGAAACCAATGGCCTATTCTGAATATGTTGTTTTAGGATGTCACAAAAACCAAAGCGTTTAAATATAGCAGTTAAGCCCCGCCCCCGCTCAAGTTCTAAAGAGTGTTTCAGGACCAACTGCTTATCGAATGTGGCACCAATCAGAACAGAGGTCATTTACATATATCAGTGTTAGAGTCAAAGTAATAAAAACAGCCTGTTTGATTCTATGGAGTAAAAAGTTCAATTATTGCTATTTTTGGTGCATAAACCCACACAAACGTCGTAAAAAGACCTCAAAGGACAAAATAAAATGCCTTAATATCGTATGCCAGCCATTTGCAGTTGGAATCAAATCAGTAATCCGCTGTAATGTTCTTCCTTTCTGCGAATCTAAGTCCGATTGTTAAAGCAAGAGTTCATACGCGCTAATATTTTATTTCCCACCCGTATTCAGGATAGTCCCGCCCGTCCTGCGCTATGATTGGCTAGCAATGTCTGGCGTCGTGCGCTGGTATTGGCTACTGGTTCATACTAGTGGGATGCCCGCCAATAGTTGGATAGCGTGCACGTACGGAGGCGTAGCCAATCCTGGCGCGGGAGAGGCGGGGCTTAAGGCGCGGAATACAGGCGGGCAGCAATGAGCACAAGACTTTACAGACAGACTGTGCGTGTAGTGTGTCTGTGTGTGGAGAGAGAGAGAGAGAGAGAGAGAGAGAGAGAGAGCGAAGAGGGGAGTCACGCAAAAAATGGCGTCTCCAGAGCAGAAATATCAGAAAATATCCACTTCATTCCGTGTTATGGTTCACATTCTCACGCGCGCCCAAAATCCGGCGTGCGTAGCACGTTAACAACACGACGTTTTTTTTTTCTTTTTTTTTCTTTTCTTTTTTTTTTTTGCAATACATGCTAATATTGTGTGCTGGTGTGCAACAGCTGCAACCAAAAAAAAATATAAATAATAATAATAGCAATACTAAAAATGCTACGACATTCAGGATGCTTTTAATATGCTTTTTATATATTTTTATTTGTTTTTTTGTTGTTGTTTATTTATGAATTCGCTATATACGATCGGACTGAACTGGTACGTGGACTGTATTGCAATATGCAGGGAGTAAAAAAAAGAGGGCAGAAAAAAAAACGACGGAGTACAAATGTGTACGTGTGTGAGTGAGAGAGAGAGTGAGAACGAGAGAGAGAGAAAGAGCGTGAGCGCGCGCGCGCGTGTGCACGAGCATCAAGCCTCGCTGCTGCTGCTGTCTCTCTGTAGACAAGGACAATAGACGTTGAAATATATAGAGGGGAGGGAAGAAGCTGGATTTTTTTTTTTTGTGGTTTGGTTTGCACCCCACATCCCCCCCTTTTCCTCCTCCACCTCCTCCCACCCTCCTCCCCTACCCATGTAACCCCCCCCTTCTCCGTATCCTCCATCTCCCCCTCCTCCTCCTTCTCCTCCTCCTCCTCCTCCTCCCTCCATTCCTCTCTCTCTCTCTCTCTGTCTCTCTCTCCCCCCCCCCTCCGAGCTGCTCCCATTCTTGAGGACTTGCATGTGAAACGGGAGAGATAAACAGACGTGCGGAGCGCCGAGGAAAGGACAAGGGGAGAGAGAGAGAGAGCGAGAGAGAGAGAGAGTGAGAGTGAGAGAGAGAGAGAGAGCGAGAGAGAGAGACGGTGCATTAGAATTTAGGAAACAACCTCCCTCCCCTCTCCTCCTCCCCTCTCCTCCTCCTCCTCCTCCTCCTCCACCTCCTCCTCTTCCCCTCCCTCCCTTGTCTATCTCTCCATCTTCATCCCTCGTTCTTTTTTCTTTAATGGATAGGAATTATCCTGGCACAGGATTCGGTGATCTGGGCGCAGGAACGGGATGGAGTTACGAGAGATCAGCGAAGGCAAGGTAAGGGCGTGCGTGCAAGAGGAGAGAGAGGGGAGAGAGAGAGAGAGGAGGGGGGGTTGCACTGTCTGTTTTATTTTTATTTATTGTATTTTACCCCTCGTGCACGGAGTGGGGAGGGGGGGTAGCTGCAACAATGCCCCAATGCCGATGGTGCAAATGCATGCTGCTCTGATTATGGGGTCCAGGTTATTGTCATTACCGAGCGAGGAGGAGGAGGTGGTGGTGGTGGTGGTGGTGAAATGGGGGGGTTGAGTTGGAGGAGGTGGAGTGGAGTGGGGGGGGGTGTCTTGGAAAATGCAAGGAATGCGATTGAGAGTTAATGCGTGATAGGGAAGGTAGACTGAGACTGAGACAGAAAAAAAGAGGGGGAGAGGGGCGAAAAGAGGGGGGATGGGACGCTGCTAAAGCTAGCTAAAAAGAATGCACAAAAAAATAAGCAGGCTTGTTCGAATTTCCCCGTTCCACCTTAAATGGTGCAGCAGTTACATTCTGGCGCCCGAGGCGCCAGAATGTAACTGCTGCACCATTTAAGGTGGAACGGGGAAATTCGAACAAGAAGCTCGCGACTTCAGCTTCGTCAAAAATACATGTATGAAGCCTCCACTGGGAAGCTATCCGAGCCCTGGACCGTGTCTGATTTATGACACGCAGTTTATGTGTTGACAAAGCACTATTTTATTTCTTTAGCTGCCAATTAGGGTTTTTTTTTAGTCGCTTGCTACTGTATCCCAGCGTGGCTAATGCTGTGTGGCCTCTTGGAAACACGACGGGGCTGCATAGCCTATTGTTTTGACTCCAAAAATGCTGGAAGCTTCCTTCTGCAAAGGTTGCAATCCATGTGGCTGCACATTTGTTCCATGCTGCTCGTAAGTGCTACAGCTTAGCACTGACTGCAGTGCAACATCACCCCTTTTTTTCCTACACCAACGTTTTTGTGCGTGTTCATGTCAGCCCAGGTACAGCCATGTCACCTGGCCAGGTGATTAAGTAAGGCTGGCAGGTCTGGGTGCTGAGCTGCTGAGAATATTTCATTTCAAATTTCAACGCATACATCTTTTTGAGTGGATGAGGGGGGGCGGTGATTGTGAGCAGGTCAGGCCCACAGTAAACACACTGTATAAGGTCAGACGCTCTAATATGTTGCAGATGCAGTTTTGGATCATAAGCCAGCTCTGTGAGGAAGCTGGCCGAGTGGCCCCGGTAGCTTTGGACATTAAAATTCCTGGACTAAGTGCTGGCATGTTTGGCTTGTTGTTGTGGCTACCTGCAGCACACTGAGCCAGACACAGCGCTGCTCCATTTGCGACCATTTCGCGTTCATACTGTGCGGCGCAGAGCCTGGGTTTTGTTATAACAGTGTATCTGTTATCAGTGTGAGTGTAGCTGTGCTATTGTGCGACTGTATTAATGTGAGTGTAACTTTAGTAACGTGACTTAATGTGAGTGTAGCTGTAGTAAAGTGAGTGTGACTGTAGTAATGTGAGTGTAGCTGTATTAGTGTGTGTAGCTATATTAATGTAAGTATAGCTGTATTAATGAGTGTGTAGCTGTATAAGTCTGAGTGTATCAATGTGACTGTGGCTACATTCATGTGAGTGTAGTTAAATTTATGTAGCTATATTAATCTGAGTCTAACTATCAGTGTGTGTGTAGCTGTATAAGTCTACCAGTGAAAGTGTAACTGTAGTAATGTGAGTGTAACTGTGTTAATGAGTGTAGCTGTATTAATGTGAGTGTAGCTGTGTTAATGTGAGTGTAGCTGTGTTAATGTGAGTGTAGCTGTGTTAATGTGAGTGTAGCTGTGTTAATGAGTGTAGCTGTATTAATGTGAGTGTAGCTGTGTTAATGAGTGTAGCTGTATTAATGTGAGTGTAGCTGTGTTATTGTGAGTGTAGCTGTATTAATGTGAGTGTAGCTGTATTAATGTGAGTGTAGCTGTGTTAGTGTGAGTGTGACTATTAATGTGAGTGTAGCTGTATTAGTGTGAGTGTGATTATCAATGTGAGTGTAGCTGTATTAATGAGTGTCGCTGTATTAATGTGAGTGTAGCTGTGTTAGTGTGAGTGTGACTATTAATGTGAGTGTAGCTGTATTAGTGTGAGTGTGATTATCAGTGTGAGTGTAGCTGTATTAATGAGTGTTGCTGTATTAATGAGTGTAGCTGTATTAATGTGAGTGTAGCTGTATTAGTGTGAGTGTGATTATCAGTGTGAGTGTAGCTGTATTAATGAGTGTCGCTGTATTAATGAGTGTAGCTGTATTAATGTGAGTGTAGCTGTGTTAGTGTGAGTGTGACTATTAATGTGAGTGTAGCTGTATTAGTGTGAGTGTGATTATCAGTGTGAGTGTAGCTGTATTAATGAGTGTCGCTGTATTAATGAGTGTAGCTGTATTAATGTGAGTGTAGCTGTGTTAATGTGAGTGTGACTATTAATGTGAGTGTAGCTGTATTAGTGTGAGTGTGATTATCAGTGTGAGTGTAGCTGTATTAGTGTGAGTGTGATTATCAATGTGAGTGTAGCTGTATTAATGTGAGTGTAGCTGTATTAGTGTGAGTGTGGCTGTATTAGTGTGTGATTATCATTGAGTGTAACTGTAGTAATGTGAGTGTAGCTGTATGAATGTGAGTGTAACTGTATGAATGTCAGTGTAACTGTATTAATATGAGTGTAACTGCGCGGACCGTGTTGTGTTTTCGCGGCCTACTTACAGTTCAAAGGCGCGCGGTATGTTAGCAGTCGCCCTGACAACCGGATCAATCAGAACAGCACATGGGGCAGGACGCAGCATTCACATCAGATGCTTTAGTACTGTACTCTGGTTGTGATAAAAGGCCTGACTCACTTCTAACTGTCATAACAGCAACAGCAATAATAACGTTTTATTTTACTTTGTAGTACGTACATATAGATGACTGAATAGTAATAATAATAATAATAATAATAAATAATAATAATAATAATAATAGTCACAGTAGTAATGGTAGAGTACAGTTAGTATCATACACTGAGAAATGACCTAATTCACTTCTTATGGTTGTAATAATATCAATAATAATACAAATAATATAGTTTTAACATTGATTGTTGTACAGGCATATAGATGACTAAATAATAATTAAATTGTTTTATAATTATAATAGTTGAGGTTGTAGTTAAATAGTTATAACAATAGTACATCAACAGTAATGATAAAACAGTTTCTTCCAAGTCCAAAATTCCACTTTTCCGATATGACACCCATACTGATATTGAAGGCTTGAGTACTGCAAGATTCCAACCTGATATTTTTTCTTTCAGGACATATTACAGGATTGAAGTAGATTATTTTTTTCCCGCTGATGTCCCATCTAGCATTTTCTACTGATATCAGCCCATTACTGATACTAATCAGTATACCAATATCAATATTCCATACTGTTGTACTATTGCATTATTGTACTAATGTTATAACTACACTACCACTACTGCTGTGACTATTATTAATATTATTATTATTAATATTCAGTCATCTGTTGGCCTTTACAACAACCCAAATTGTATTATTATTATTGTTGTTATTATTATTATTATTATTATTATTATTAGTCATCTGCAGGACTTTGTAAGACAACAAAACCATGTTGGAACAAAAATCATCTCTGAATAATAAGTTCAGTCACTTTTTTTTATTCGATGAGCATTCTCAAATTATATCTGCAATGTAAAAATCTGTATATTCTCACTACTGTGTCACTAGGGCATTGGCTTCCTAGCTTAATGTGCCACAGAGGTGGGTAATATTCAGATTTTTTTATTAGCATGATAAATTTTCTTTCTTTTAATTGGATGTAGTGCCAACAATTTTGAATAAAAAGCTCTAAGTATTGTGATAGAATATCAGCTGCAAGCTTTTTTGCTATTAAATAAAAACCATATCAATCACGAGAGGTAGGAATGTGCTGCACTAGTGCTACAGGTGGGTGAAACGCCATAAATATATCATGACGCTTCAAAACATTTTCACAGCAATTTTTTTCTGTTATTTAATAAGTTGGAACAGACAAAAAATCTGCAGCAAAAACAAAAACTATAAATACATAGATTTTTTATTCATCATTTCTCTAAATACAGTTAAGCAGGACTAATGATGCTGTCTTTATAATGAAACATGCAGCTGTTCTGTGGATATTTTGCATATTGTGATGACAGTAATGACAAATAACACCATATTGCCCAGCTCTAACTTGTCCAGGGTAAGCCCACCTTCACCATTATGCCAGATTCAGCTATTTAATGTAGCTCCAAGAACAGTGCAGCTCCAGCTAGATGTTTTCAGCACCTTTTTGGGGGGGCAGGGTGCAGATCTTTGCAGTACTGCTTACTCGCAACTGTTTTTGGACAGAGTGTACTGTATGTGAGGTTGCCAGTATTGTCTTTTATTCCAGTGGATGGGAACACACCAGGGTGTTGAATAGCAGGTAGCTGTGGTGCTTGAAAGGACCAGGTGAGACCAGGTACACTCAGCCTCTTTCCCGTAGACTCTGCCCAGTGGGAGTGATTGCTCCTGGGCTGTTGGATAGTTTATGATTGCCTTTCTGAGTCAAGGGCATCTCTCACAGCACAGGCGGATTGATGGCACCCAGGATCCTTAATGAGCAATTCTTACTCATAAGACGTTGGACAAGCCTCAGCACTGGCGCACAGCAGCCTGAGAGCTTTCTCTGAGTGAGATGAAATGAAATGAAATTGAATCTCTCCTCTTTTAGTTTTGGGGGTTAGAAATTGTAATTGTTTTTTTTTGTTTTGAATTAATATTAGTTCGGAGCGAGAGCGCTGTTGTGGGACTATACATGTGCCTCCATTAGGCCGCGATGAAACACACTGAAGTATTAAATGAATATGAAATGAAGTGAAATAAAATGAAAGTGATTTTTTTCCCCCATTATTTTTCCAGTACTTATTCAAATAAGGCCAGCTGCAGCGTCGTGTGAATTAACTGCATGCGGAGACAGAGATACA